CTTTGTGCGCTGACATATAGCACAGCCCTGCACATATCTTGATTTGTCTGCTCGCATGCCCAGCCAGACGAATCGTGCCGCTACACGTTTCAAGGTTCTCAAAAATCCAGCGTGGGCTGCAGTGGGATGGTCATGCACCATTTTCAATGCCAGGTGCCAGAGGTGAGAGAGTAGCCATGGTACCTTCTTGTTGCCTCTTTGCTGAACAAGCAGGTCACTTGGCTCTAGTCCTGTTGTTTCTGCCAGATCTTAGAGAAGGCGATGATCAGGGTCTTAATTTGGAAGCATAACCCCCTGGACCACAGTTTTCAGTTTTGAAAGACAGCTTTCACAAGCCTGTTCTTGTACAAGTTGCACGGTGTCACTTAATGCAGTCGTATCATCTCCTAAGGCAACTGCCACTTGCTCAAACACAATTTTCCCTTCGGGTTCTTGTGCAGCAATAGGAAGCAGCTTCTCGTGCAAGCTATCGCTGGGACTGTCCTCACATTGAAAAGGGGCTCTGCTCGGGGAATCTGTGGGTATATTTGCCAGCCCCGTCTGTGTGTGATTCGGCAATTGAAACCCTGCAAACGGAGGACCCAGCGTTTGACCCTGGGCAAAGCTTGGTCGGTGCTGAACATCCACAACAGGGACGAGTGGTCGCAGTGTATCTCGGAGTGTAAACTCAAGATTCGTTTTGAATTTGTCCACAGTCGACACTACTGCAAGGCATTCCCACTCCTGGACTGTGTAGTGGCTTTCAGCTTCTGTGAGAACCCTGCTAATGAAGGAAACAGGCTACAGTCTGCGGGGCCAGCCTGCAGTATTCAAATGTGCCCTGATGTCAGATGAAAGCTGTTTTCACTGTGTCAGCATCAGACACAAAGATCTGAAAGAAACCCTGGGAAGGTCAAAGCTCGAAAACCACATTGCACGGCCCAGTTGTGCTAGCAGCCAGTGCATTCGGGGCATTGGGTAGGCGGGTGTTCGGGTGCGTGCATTTAATGGCCGATAGTGCACAGGAAGCCGGTCGCCACCAGATTTCTTGGCAACGAGCACTGGGGCACTAGTCCAAGGGCTGGTGCTATGTCTTATAAGGCGTTGCTCCAAAAGGTCATTTACACAGTCTTCAATGATCTTCTGCTTTTCTTGCATTTGCTGGACGCAGCTTGCATTTTCTCCAGTGTCAATGCAGTGCTGAGTGAGGGTGGTAAATACAGGATTGATAGTAAACAAATGAGAGAAGTCATCAAGCACCTTATTCATGGTTGGTATGCCTTCAGCTGTAATAGTGCTTCCAATGCCAGGAACCAGAAGCACTTCTTCAAATAGGCCCTGAAAGCAATAATAAGATTCACTATTTTCTATCGCGAGTGCGGCGGTTATATCCTTGTCACGCTTAGCAAATGGCACAATGCAGTGCGGATCTGTTCCAATAGTCCACCCCGATAACGCCCCATGTAGGCACATGCTTGTTGCAGTCAAAAAGTCTCTGCCAAGCACCATGTCCCAACACAAACCTGGTACACACAAAAAGCGTTGGGTGCCGTCGCTTGAGGACCAATGTATCTTGCACATTAAGGATGTGCTTGACTGTAACCAACCTGTGGCCAGTCGAAGAGCTCTTGCTTGTATTCTAGGTTTGGCGCCCATCTCCTCCGCTACCCTTGCCGCTGGCGTACCAAGCAAACTCACACTTGACCCTGTATCTAGTAGGGCCAGGAATGTAGTCCACCCAACCCGCACCTCCAGGAGAGGCTCCTTGTTGCCGGCCACAGCTGCTACCCGGAGCGCTGTCTCGTAGGTGTTGGCCGGAGTAGCACCTACCATCTCCCGTTTCCCAGGCACTAGGAGCCGATATGCCCGATTATGTGGCACTGATAGCAGCGGGGTGGGCCATTGTGCCGACCCGTAGGGCACTCGCAGCCCACGTGGCCTATGCCTCTGCAGCTATGGCACGTAATTTCACCGCCGTCGTGCAGTTGGTATCACTGGAATACTGGAACGGCGCCGCAGCCAGTACTCCGAGCTGCGCTCTTGACAGGCCACTCAGGCCAGCTGCATTCACAGCAGGCCGGAAGGCAAGGTCCCATCGCAACTTGATCGGTTGAAGGTGGCGGTGGTTTGTGCTGGAATCATCTCCAGTAATGCTCCATGAGGCCGTCAGCAGCCTTTGTCAGCTTCGCGAGATTTGCGAACTGCTTGCCTTCCACCAAATCCTGGAGTTGCGGATACATCTGTCGCAACACACGGTTGACTTTTTCTGCGTCCGACACTTTGCCGCCGATCCTGTCATAAAATTCCACTATCGTGTAGATGAGCTTCTTTAAAATTTATTCAGGGTGCTGGTTGCTGCGGAGCTTCAGCTCCTGCCTTGGGCGCCGCTTCGCATCCACAGACGAAAATTTCGCAACGAACGCCGCCTTGAAGTCCTCCCTGGCCGCAAACGATTTGATGAAGCGCAGCCACAACTTTGCGCTCCCCTCCAGCGCAGTGGGGCAGTGGGCACCATATGCGTAAGCCTTTTTTCGGCGGCGACACCAGTCACCAAGCAGAAGGTCTCAAGACGGTCCAGGAATTATTCGGGTGATTGGGTGTCGCCGAATCCAGCAAACCGGGGGGGGGGGGGGGGGGGGGCGGCTGGCTTCCCGAGGCCTGGGGAGCACAGTCGATTGCCGACTGAATCGTCGCCGCCGCCGCTGCTGTCATGGCGCCTGCAGACATGGGCTCTGCCATCATAAGCCTTTGTCTGACGACAGCCGCGATATGGTGGCGCCGTTTGTCTGTCCAAGTAACTACTGCAGTAGCTCTTCTAGCACATTCACGCTGTCCATTCTAGTTGCCATGTCGATCCCGGATGGTCCCCCACTTGTCACGCATGTCGATACACTCAACGACAGGAAACCACGCTCACACAACCATTTATTCTCCGTGCCATATCCCGACTACCCCCGTCCTGCTTTCCTCCTTCCCGCGCGCACCTTCACTGTTCACGTGACATTTGCGCACCACCTCGTTCCTCGACCGTCAACTACACACAGCCCCAGAGATCCACACACAACCCCACTCGCGCGCCACCTCGTTCCTCGACCGTCAACTACATTCATCTCCCCGGCACTCACTCTCCTTCTCACAGTGTCAACTGTCCCGTTCACTTCAGAAGCGTGGCTTTCTCGTCACATTGAGGCACCACAGCGGATGCACTCTGCTGTAATGGGTAGCAACCTTGCACGCAGCTCCTGGATAAATCGGGCGAGTAGCATTTCCAGTTCGGGGTGCACTGTAGTCTGTCCACGAAATGAAGTTTTTTTTATTTATGCAAGATGTAATGCGCTGCTGTTGGCTCCTCCATTATCGGACGCTTTTCTCCGATGCACGGAATTCCCGTTGTGCCGCCAGGTTGCCGTGCGCGTGGGCATACTCAATAACGTTTTCCTCTAAGCGTATCATAAACTGCAGTCGAGTACCACTCATTTCTGAAAAAAATAGAAAAAAGAGAACAGCACACTGACAAAGATAATCGAAGCAAAATGGTGCTGCTGGTACACTGTATGCCTTGCCTTGCCCACCGGCGCCGCTACTGATGCTCACGATTGCAATAGAGACTTTCGACTTCAGCTGCCAATTGTTGTGAGACTTCCACATTTTTTTCTGCCAAAGACCAGTATATGAGATGACAATCGACTTCTCATCGCATTTAAAAACATTCACCCTATATACCGGTTTTAGAGTACTCACCAAAGCTCATAACGCAGCGTCCAACTGCCCGAGGCTTTCTTCTTCCCGGCAGCTCGGGTTGTTGAAGCGTAATTGCTCCATTAACGTGAACAACACCGGGCGAAGTGAGAGCGCAGAGTATTGAGCAACTTGCTCAGTGTCTTGGTATGTGGTGTAGCCAGCTTTAGGAGGTCGTGTGGGAGACTGAAGACGGGTTTTGCAGCTAGCCAAAAAAACGCCCTGCTGTTTCTTTTCAGGCGTGTTGTTTGCACGGAAAAGCACATGGGCTTGCTCTTCATAGATTGGCGAAGTAGTCGCATCGCTCTCGAACGGCTGAAGACTTTCATACAGCGACATGGCGGTAGATACGTAGAGTGTTTTGTTTTGCCACTTTCAGTGGCGTGTGCCAACTCATTGACTGCGCTCGTACCCAGTGTCACGATCTTTCCCAGGACCGCGGGCGAGGGGAGGCTGAAGCACCCGTGCTCTAGTAAGAACGTCCCAACAACATGGCGATGTAAACAACTGACTGTTAGCTGTGCTCATCATTATTTATTCTTGGCTCGAGCCGAAGGTTGCATGCTGAACCATATGAGGCAGTGAAACACTTCTAGAAGGGGCACCACATGCTTGCACCATAAACTTCACCTTCTCCTCATTGACCGCTGCAGGGGGAGGGGTATTATAGGCTTCCGGCGTCGCTAGCGTTCATGGAGGACAACGAGAAAGATCGCCGAGCTCGCACACGTCTTACGCTTGCCCGCCACTAGGGGGCGAGCGTGGAGTAACTGTTTTTGGTTATCTGCCTCTGTGTGCTCTTTGAGGGCCCCAGCTGCTCGCAGACACTGAGCCCACAGTATGTTTCTCTCGTGTCAACCATAGCGTCATTAGAGAATCTGTGCTAATGTATATCTTATCTATCTTGTGTCCTGCTTATTCGTCACGGTGGTCTAGTGGTTACAGTCTACGACTGCTGGCTCGAAGGTTTTAGGATCAAATCCTGGCTGCAGAAGCAGCATTTTGATCAAGGTGAAATGCCCGGGCACCACGTACTTTGACTTAGGTAGACATTACAAACTGCCGAGGGGTCGAAATTTAAAATTTTCCGAGCCTTCTACTGTGGCGTCCTTCATGGTAATATCATCATTTGGGGACATAAAACCCTAAGAACCATTATTATTATTTTGGCAGAAACTGCTTTGCTTAGCCAAGCAGTTTCTCCCAAGAATGCGCAAGCGCAAGTCTTCTTATCCTACTGCCAGCTCTGGCACATCTGCAATGTAAATGTGGGTGGCATGCAGGGTCTATGGCTTGAGCGGACAACATTGGAGACTGCGTCTGCTCTGCCGGGGCTGCTCCCTTGGGCCGAGGTGGTGGACCAACAGGCAGACTGGGTGCCCCCTCTGGTGCATGCGTGCGAAGCAGTTGAGGCTATGAGCAATGAGCTTCGCCGTCTTGTGGCAGTACACTCTCGGGAGCCCCACCGGCCTCTAGCGCCACTGAGCATGCGCCTAGCTGGTGCCATTGAAGCAGCCGTCAACGGGGGCCTGGCCAAGTACCATCAGGCGAGTCCTTCGTGGGTCTTTGCTGGGCTTGTGCAAATATCACTTTGTTGGTTTGAAACAAAGTGGACGTGAATCATATTTAGCATAGAAATATTTTGAATGGTAGCAGAATTTGAATTCTTGAAAGATTCAATGTATAAGCTGTAAAGTAGGCTAAATTGAAAATTTTGATGTCGAAAACCAGAGGTAGTGTGCAAGGTGCATCTTAATATCGGTTGATTGAATGTATAAAATAAAGTGGATTGACAGTGGGCAGGTGATCATAAAAGCAGCACTTATTTGGATCCCCATGGTAAAGGCGAGTATCTTTATCTAATCTGTGATGATTATTTGCTGCTGTAGACTGAGGGTCATGCCTGAATGAGTAATGTCTTGTTTTTCAGACATTACTCACATAAGAAACTCGAGATAGTTGACACTGAAACCATGCTGTTGCTGTGAACTGCATTAGAACAAGACAGCACGAACGTAGCAGTGTTGTGTAGTTAAATGCAAGGTGCCTGCAATATGCAGCGATGGGTATATCAGAATGTGTGAAGAATGATCATTAGATGATGTAGAAGCATCAACCATTAAATAGTTTTGTGTTTGTGCCCCTTCTATAAAGCAAATAATATACGTAACTAAGTAAACAAGTTTTTGTTGGTGTCCTTGCATCATGAAAAACATAATCGATCTAACCATTAAATTTGCTTTTTCATGATGCCTGAATATTCAGTCATTTGTGGGGCCTTGTTGATGTAGGAGAAATAACTCGGTGACTGTATTGATGGCATCTCGACAAAATTTGAACCCCTTGGTCAAAACCCTATCACTATCATTCTGCTCTGCAGGCCTTCCTCAGTGGAGGTGATGCGTCAAGTGAAGGGCAAGCACGGCTGCGGTCATTGCTGCTGGAGCAGGTGAGTTGTTTGGTGAGTGGACTGTTGGAAATCACCTCGTGCTTTGTGGACTAATATTTTTCGTCATTATTTGTGTAGACAGTAAACATGTTCTCATATGCTTTGATTTGGCATCCTTGGAGGTAACAACATATAGCATTTGTGGATGAAGCTTGCACCTGCAGCTCCCGCAACTTGAACATAAAGCTTTTATTTTCTCGTACAAACACATTCAAATTTATTTTTTTTCACGTACTATAGAGCTCTGGAATTCCCCACTAAGTAGGATTCGCTCACTAGTATAGAAAGATTTCATTGATGTCGCTACTAACCAATTCGAACATATGTGTTGTTTTCTCGCTTATTGCTCTACTGTACAGTCGCGCCCGCTTATAACGAACCTGAGCGTGACGCGGCATCCGTTTGCTGTATCCCGAAACTTATAACAAATGAAACACAGCTTTTAAAAAAGGTTGCGCATGAAAACACAAACTTTTTATGCCCCCAAAAGTCCGTGATGCACGTGTTTGAATAGCAGAAGCGATAAGGAAGGTCTCGAGTTCATTTAAAACGGCAGGGCGCTCGTTCGCCAAGGCCCGTGGCATAAGCTGCATGAGGCACTGACTCCAAAGTTTCGTCGTTCTCGCAATCCGATTCCTCCAAATTGCTCTCGTCAAATACTTCATTCACGATGCCCTAATCCGTCCACGGTTTCGCAGTGTCGGCATCATCATCAGCCGTAACTAAATCATCGCAACAGATGTCCCACCCGCTCTCCCAGGTCGGAGTCGACGACGTGCTGCTACAAATCGTCGCCGCAGTGGTCCTGTTCGGAAGCTTCATGCTCGCCATCGGGCCCGACGTCGACGAAGTCAGCCTCGCGAAAACAGTTTCGCGCCGCCCACGAAATATTCACCATGTGCACAGCTGCATACCGGGATGCCCGAAGCGGCGAGTTGGCTGCCAGGTGGTCAACAGCTATAAGCAAGCACTCCGCAACACGGCACTTAACGCGCGCATTACGCTCAAGCCAAGCGGTCACGCTTTCAGCGTTTTGTTGAGCGGCAGAAAAAAGCGTGCTAGTCCTCCCGTCGGCCATCATGACCAAACACGCACACCAAGAAGGAGCAAGACGCGCACACGCGACACACATGCCAGAACACGTGGAACAGCTCTGTGCTCGTTTCCAGTCAGAAAACGAAACTAATTCGAGCCAGCGCGGCGGGCGTCGCGGAGCGGTGGAGACGGGCGAAGGGGTTGTGATTAAGAGAGGAGAGGAGACTGCGAGAGAAGTGCAAGGAGTTGCGATAAAGAGAGGGGAGGATGCGGCGGGAGGGCGACCTTGAAAACCAAAAACACACGGGAAGGAGGCAGGTTGGGTAGCTTGCTCGGGCTGGCCCTACGTCATCTCCTGACGTCGTTCTCCGATGACAGCGCAGCTCTGACCCACTGGACCTGCCCTACGCCACCTCCTGACGCTGACAAGAGCTCTCGCAAGTGGTGCCCCGTCTTCGGACTCCTGTGACCGTGTTTACATCTTTTCTATCTCTCCTATCCCTTCGATATGTCCTCGCTCGCTGGCCTAGCACATCTCTCTTTCTCTATACCTTTACTTCTATCTTTTTAATCCCTCCTCACCGCCATTCCTTGTGAGCTACTGTTGAGGTGTCCGTCCATGAAGCAGACAGTTATGGGGCTCACTTTTTTCTTTTCCCTCTTAAAATCACTTAGTAGTAGTTGAAAGGTCCACGAAACTCGCTCGTAGAAAAAATTGGAAAGAGTGCATGGCCGCCTGAATAGGTGCGTGCGGCAGTGTTCGAAGAATCGGCGGCCGTGATCAAAAATCCTTTTGTTGCACCAGCGGACTTGCGTGGACTCACGAACTTTTGATATTTCGGGATTCGTTCCGTGCAAATTAACAGCCGTTTTCGCACTTCCGCATGTGCACGGAAGGCGTGCTGAGCCGAGTGCAAAGTGTGCGAGAACAAGTTCTGAACACGAAACGATTCGCAAATTATCAGAGTCAGTGGGGTAGCGTACGCGCGTGCACTAGACGCGGGCTATCAGATGCAGTCGGTGGCCGACGATGTTGGCAAATGGTCTGGTCACTCCAGGCCGGCGACGTCGACAGTACCAGCGATCAAAAACGGGGTAGATGGCCGACCGGTCTTCGAAAGATCGGTGGCAATGTGAAAACACGGGCCTCGTCTGGCGATGCGGAATGCTCAGAGTAGCGGGGAGGGGGGGGCAAAGGACGGAGGGGTGCGTAACAAAAGCAGTCAGGAAGAGCAGCAACTAGAGGGGCGCGGAGGCAGGGTCGACGTTTAACAATAAGAATGTATGGGCAACTCGCCGATGCCTGATCAGTGGTCGAAATCGGTTTCCCGGGAAGTCGGCAGACTGCTGACTCCGTTCGCTGTAACCGATCAGCGGCGCTCGGAGACGTTCGTTGTAAGTGCGATTTTGTACCATTGAACCAATGTATATTTTCACGGTCACGTGGATATTGTTCGTTTTAAGCGAAAGTTTGTTATAAGTGGGGCCGTTATATGTGGGCTCGACTGTATTTCACTTTTATATTGTTGTTTATTTGCCCTGTTGCTTTCGTCCTGTATTACTCATCCACTCCTGCTACAGCGCTATACTTGAACTGCAATATAATCAAATAAATAAATAGATAAATTTGACTTCACAGATACTTGTCGAGCACTCTAAGCAGATGCTGGTTTTGGGTAGATTTTAAACATATACCGTAAAAACCCGCGTATAGTTCGGACCCGCGTATAGTTCGAGGTGTAACTCGGGGATAGCAAACGCGAGAAAAAACATTTTCACGCGAATATTGTTCGAGGCAAACAGAAAAAATGCATTTATTTACACACTTGCATGCGCACGCACGCGCGCGCACGATTAGTCGTCGTCTTCGTCTGACACACTGTCTTCCGAATCTCCCTTCCGAAGTCCGCAGGCGGAATGCCTTTGTCTCGAGCGATCTCCCTTGCCTTTGCCTGCAGCAGCTCGATGTGCACAGCGAGTTGTGCAGCTCGTTGCTCCCGAACAAAGTCCGTCAGTTCTCGTTTCACGTCTGGAAATGCTCCATTTTTCGGTCCCCGGAAACTTTTTCTCTTGCCGCAGCATGCAAAAAGGGCTTCCTTCTGCTTCCGCCAACCGCGAATGCTCCACTCATTCACGCCGAACTGCCGCTCCGCGGCACAGTTGCCGATGGTTTCGGCAGCAGAAATAACTTTCCTCTTAAAGGCAGCCGAGTACTGCCTGCGCGGTCCCGACATGGCTTAAAATCACGGAAGTAAAATCGTGGCCGTCGTGATGTGCGCCAAGTGATTGCAATGGCCACTGTTGCTCGCCTGATGCACGCCTGTACCTGTAGGTCTCTAGGACTAACGCCGCTCACGCTACCACGCCACCTAACGTAGAAGTGCGCAGACACCTGATAATGATGATAGCACCAACCAATGCCGAAACCAGAACTGAATTCGGGCCGAAACTTTTTTTGGGATCCGCATATAGTACGGGGCTGAAATTTCGCCCCCTAAATTTTAGAAAAAAACCCCGGGCTATACGCGGGTTTTTACGGTAGTAAACAGTAAACAGATGTATGATATTTTGTTCTCAAAGTTCTTTGATTGAGGTACATAGTTCGATTTTCTGGGATGGCTTCATTATTGCCAATCATATAGTGTAAACATTTAGAGCAGTGCAGTGTCCACGTCTCATTATGTGACATATCTGTCACTTATCTGGAGTCTGTCAACGTTCAATGATTGTGATATCTATGAAGATGAATTGTTTATTGCTGCTTGCTCTTGTGGGTAAATCGAGTTTCATCTGTATTAGCCTAGCAAAGAAATGAGCCCTTCGGCCCATTCCCTTTAGTTTTGTGCATGTGTGTTGCATTTGTTCTGGGAGATCTGCTCCTTGTGCGAGCTCCATTCGTGCGGTGTTCCCTGTCAGGTGCATGTGCTGGAAGGTGGCCTCTCTCTGCATGGGCGGCTGGCTCCACCAGACTTGGGACCTCTGCAGAAGCGGCTCGTCGAGCGCTTGGGTCAGCTTCAGCAAGCTGTGCGTGGTGCATCTGCGCATGGGTGCGTATCGTATACTTTTTTCCCTTCTTTCTTTCTTTGTCTCAACCCGCAGCAAGCTAACTGCCGTAAGGCACCTTATCGAGCTCATAATTTTTGCCGTGATGCTCTTAAAGTAGGGACATACAGTAAATTTTTACAATAAAATCTTTTAACAGTGAAGCTGTTAGTCGAGTCGTTCATGCCCGGTATTCATCGAAAATCTTAGATTGGTTGTGGGAGTTAGCCACAGGAGGCGGGTAAATCCCACTACTGATAGGTGCCACTCCTCACACTGCTCCAACTGCACATTACTACCCCAACTCACCACTATGCCCGCTTCATTCTACTTCTTTCACGTCGCTGCACTTCACCAGCCTTGCCATTTCATCAGTGTTCACCAAGTGAACGTGGTTAAATTTTTGTTTTATTTTTAAGAGATGGCAGAAGTAGAAGCAGATGCAATGTTGCAGAACGATAGTATGTGGAAGTGTGATTGTTTGTTGTGAAGCGAGGAATATTTAGAGGTGAGACTCCACTATTTGAGGCAACAAGATAATGTTACTCTGCCAGAGCGTCCGAAACATGCTAAGAGCATATGGTGGGGAACAAAGAACACGGGACTGCTTTGGTTGTAGAGGGATCCAGTCATGTATGTTGCTCTGGTTCATTGCTGAGTGACAGTTGTCTCTTTCAGCTCCCCACGACCAGGTTCCGCTTGTAGCAGCAGTAGATCATCAACATCATCAAGTGGACTTCTGCCTCCAACACATGTGAGTGTCAAGAAAAATCGGTTTCATTTCGTGTGGTGGGGTTATGTGAGCTTACCTAACAATGACTCAATCGCTGCGTGCATTCTTCCATCAAACATGCTGTCTAGGACTTGATTCTAGCAACATAGTCATCCACTCACCAGCACTTATCGACATATCTCGCATTCACTCACACCGGGAGTCACTTGGATACTGATGCCTGCTCGATGTCACCATGAACTTTTTTTGTTCATGCCACTTAATCATTATGTTCAGTCTACAATATAGTGGACGAGAAAGTGCGCTTTCTTGTAGCTCAACTAGTAGAGCATCGGACATGTAATTCGAAGGTTGTGAGTTAGGATCCCCTCCACAAAAAAAACGTGATTTTTCATCTAGAATAATTTTTTCAATTTGAGAGACAATCATTACTTTAGTATGGCTAAGAAACCGTAAATAATGTCCCTCTTCCTTGCCTTGGCTAAGTTATCCGTTGGCTTTATTAGTTGCAGTATGGTAAAGTGTGACAGCTGCTCCCCAGACAGGTGGAGGATAATGTCCGACATTGGGAGCAAGCATTTTTAGGTCTTAATTGCTGTGACTGCTAGGGCTAAAGACACACTGCTATCTTTCACAGGATGAGTCATGGGATGGAGCAACCAGTAGCAGCTCTTCCAGCACGCTGGCCGACCAGCAGCAGGTACGTAAAACTCTGGTAAAAGTTGAGTAAGAAAATGGGCCCACACTTTTGTGGAAACCGAGATTTCACAAATTACTAGCTGAGGTGTAGCTACATTTTGAAAATATTTAAGAAATACAGGTTATATTGATGCAAGTCATCAGATGCTCCATCACGAAATTCATAGCTGGCTCTAGCAGGAGTCTCATTTTATTGTCTCGGTCTTTTTTTGTGCTAGCAGTGCAACTTCACTTTCTTGACACTGCGTCTAAGCATGGCTCACTATACTGAAATTCGGGGTGTGCAAATGTTTGAAATTACAAATATGAGCTGAAATTTTTCATTATTAGAAGCATATTAGATTGAAGAAATGCATATCTAGATTTTTGTAATTATTCGGCCATGGTTGAGTATGCAGTTAATGAGGCAGATAGTCAGACAAATTAAAATGTTCAGACAGCTAGTGGCTTATGAATGCTACACTTTGTTGTTTTCAAAGCGATATATTTCTAATAAGACATACCCATAAAGTTACATCGTACTCCGCCATGTTGTGACTGGGGGACTGTGTCAGGACCTAGAGCCATCCAATTCTCAGGGCGAAGACAAGCAGAGGAGCTGGAGCTGGTTACAGAAACTTTTTTGATATTATTTTACATGTGGAAGGTAGCGTGATCTCAACAAAAAGGAAGAAAACTTCTTGGAGCGTCTTGCGCACGTGTTTGGTGCCCTGGTCTTCTTAACATTCCCTGCAAGGAAAAACGGTTAAAACCAGGACAGTTAAATGAAATTCTCGTCTTCATTTTCGCCCCCAAAGAGAGAAAGCCAAACACCACCTTTTTTCCTAGCCAGGAAAGTGGGAAGAGGCACGCCTAGTTTGTCTCACAGCGAGGGAGAAACACACACAGTACACGACAAAACTAGCACAGTGCGATGACGGGGAGTCTAACGTGCAGAGATGACTCATCGTGGAGGCATCGCTACGGGGCAGGCCACGTTGTGCTGATAATGAAGATTTTAAGTGCGTCGTGGAAAGTGATAAACGCCCCCAAAGATGATTCCTTAGTATAACTATCATTTAAAGCGCACGAAAAAAACAGACATAAAGAGAGGACAAGCGCTTTCTCGCAACTAAACAGTTTATTAGAAAGGGTGGAATATATATACAGGCAACTGAAAAACACGACTCATGCCTGTGCAGGCAAAAAAGTACATCAGTGGCACATCAAGGACACATGGTAAATCGTGCTCTCTGAGACGAACATTGACGCATCTTCCCGACTGACCGATATACACTTTACCACAGCTAAAAGGAGTCATGTAAACAACGCCCATTGCGCACTCCACGAACTTTTTGCTGTGCTTTATGTGACATTGCGGAAACTCTTTGCGCATGCGTGAACAAATAGACTGCAGTTTGCCTTTGGCTGAGAAAAGCACATCGACTTTATATCTATTAGCTAATTGCTTAAGTTCATGTGAAGTCTTATGAAGGTAAGGAATCACTGATATCCTCCTATCCTTTCTGCTCTCTTCATGACGCTCCGAGTGATTCCCTTCAAATTTAAGTTTCTTAATCATGTTGTTACAAACTGACGTAATGACATCATTAGGATACCCTGCTCACCATGAAACCTAATGATGTCATTACGTCAGTTTGTAACAACATGATTAAGAAACTTAAATTTGAAGGGAATCACTCGGAGCGTCGTGAAGAGAGCAGAAAGGATAGGAGGATATCAGTGATTCCTTACCTTCATAAGACTTCACATGAACTTAAGCAATTAGCTAATAGATATAAAGTCGATGTGCTTTTCTCAGCCAAAGGCAAACTGCAGTCTATTTGTTCACGCATGCGCAAAGAGTTTCCGCAATGTCACATAAAGCACAGCAAAAAGTTCGTGGAGTGCGCAATGGGCGTTGTTTACATGACTCCTTTTAGCTGTGGTAAAGTGTATATCGGTCAGTCGGGAAGATGCGTCAATGTTCGTCTCAGAGAGCACGATTCGTCCTTGAAATCTGTAGGTGCATCGCATCTTGCGGCTCATTGCAGAGAGTGCGGTTGTCACCCTCTTTTTCAGGATACTGAAGTGGTTTTTCGGTCAAATAATAAATTAACTCGCGAGTTGACAGAAGCGTTTCACATAAGAAAAAGAGGGGAACAATGCGTCAGCCAGCCTTCTGTTTTGCTGCAGGATAAAGAGTTTGTTTTTCTTGAGTATGTTCCGAGATAATCTGTCTTCTTTTACCATGTGTTCTTGATGTGCCACTGATGTACTTTTTTGCCTGCACAGGCATGAGTCGTGTTTTTCAGTTGCCTGTATATATATTCCACCCTTTCTAATAAACTGTTTAGTTGCGAGAAAGCGCTTGTCCTCTCTTTATGTCTGTTTTTTTCGTGCGCTTTAAATGATAGTTATACCATGCATATCCAACTAGCCCAACTTTCGATTCAGATGATTCCTTAGCGCTCGGTTCACTGTCTGTTGCATTTTGACGACCCAAGCAATGCATAGGGGACCACTCTTTTCAGGCAGCCCAGACAGCAAATAGTTTCTTCTAGGTAATCTGTCAGTCGTGCATGTCCGAAGGGTTTCTGGCGAGGCGAGCCGATGGCACTAAAGAGTTTGCAGTACCACTGCTGTGCTGTCGCTGATTCTGGACACCTGAGGAAGTGCTGCGAACCCAGAGCAAGCCAGGATAGATATAGCCGAAATCATTCCCCGCATCTAAGCGGCACCAAGACATGGTGCCGATCACAACAGCTGTTGTTACTGTGGACTGCCGTTCAGTACTTATTTATCCAGTAAAACCTTAATCATAAAAATCTTGTTGGATAACGAAACATATTCGTATCATTCGAATTTCGTATCTACAGAAAACGCGAAAAATCAGCAACAAAGGAAAGCTGTTGTGCATATTAAGTTATTCCATCTCAGTGCCGCAGCAGTCTCATGAACAGGTCTGAATGATTCCTAGTAAAGTTTCTAGACCGCAGCGATCATGGTTGTGCTTGTAAATATATGGCATGTGTGCAGACCGAGATGCATTGCGACCCGTGACAGCTAGCAGCACCTTTGTAGTATTGTAGTACACTTTACGTGTGACATTGAAGTGCTGCAGGAAAAGGGACATAAAGACTGCTTTGCTCACAATAGATAAAGACCAGAAAATGTTAGAATTGCTGTCCTTTGTTGTTGTTTTCTTATCACAACGATGGGGGGTGGGATGTTTTCTGCTAGTTTAATGGCCGTGCCCACACTGGGGGGGGGCATTTTCTTAAAATTTGATTCTCCCATGCAAATTAGACTTGGCAAATGTGGGCGTCTCCAACAACCGTGCAGGTTGAATTTACGAGGCCTAGCTTCTTCTCTTAAGACTGTGCCTTTCCTCTTTCGATCGTCATCCAGCTTTCATAGGGAGCGTGATTTGGAGAGCGTTGCAGGCAGACGTAAGCACATTACAGTATTATCAGTGCATCTGAAAAAAAAAAAGGGCGAAGCCAACATGATTTGCTATCTCAACATGAAGGCACGCAAGAGCATTTGGGCTTCCAAGGTTTCCAGGTATATGATATTTACTCGCATAATCTACACACTCGCATAATAGGCGCACTTTGAACTTGGCCGTATTCAGAAACAATTCTACCCCCCAGCGGTACAGTTGGAACATGGTCCCCATACCCTGAAGAAAAAAAAAGGCAAATCGATGAACAAATGAAAAAATTCGAAGTACAACGACCTAACCAACGTGTTTGTCGAAACAAAACTTGAAAAAAAAAAAAAAGCGTTCATGATCGAAAAAAAAAAAATGAAACTGCTGTTGCATTAGTTACTGATACCCCCCAAATTGTCGCGCTCCTTGGAGGTCACAGTTTGCAATGCCGGGGGCTCGATCGCCATCACCATCATTAGAGAAAAAAAAGAAATGCCATTTTGCAAATGGTGTGCGTATGTTGTGGTCGTGTAATTCAACTTTTGTTCCAGCACGGGGAAGTATGCCAGCTACACATGGCTGGATTTAAACTGAAGGCAGTGCAGTACGGGCTGGAGCATGACAACCGAGCTGCAAGTAGCCAGTTTCGATGTTGGAGATACTAGTTTTCGGCACTGGAGGGATCACGAAGACAAACTTAAGGCGATGAAGAAGATACAACGGGCTTTCCACGGTGCCAAGACCGGCGGGTACCGGAACGTCAAAGAGCAACTGGTCCGTTATATAAGGGAGCTACGACAAGACGGCTGTGCTGTCTCATTGGATATTGTGCAGACTGAGGTGCACAGAATAGCCCAAGCGCAGCGCATCGAAGCAAAAGCGCTCAAAGCCAGCTCCGGATGGACAACTCGTTTCATGCGGCGCCATGGCCTCGCACTGCGAAGGCGGACCACCTTGTGCCAGCGCTTGGCCGCAGTATATGAGGCCAAAGAGGTGGACTTCCACCGTTTTGTTATAAAGCTCCGACAACAGAAAGACTTCATTTTGTCCCAGATCAGCAATGCCGATCAGATCCCCCTTTGCTTTGATATGCCGGGGAATACGACAGTGGAGGAGAAAAGTGCACAAAGTGTCATTGTCAGAACGTCTGGCACTGATAAACAATGATGCACCGTAATGCTGCCGGTGACAGCGAATGGGCGCAAGCTACCACCTTACATATTTTTAAATTTAAACGTAAGACGCTCCCAAAGGAAAATTTCCCTCAAGGCATCTACGTCAGAGTCCAAAAAAAATTGCTGGATAAGCGCGGAACTCTTGGTGGATTGGGTGAAAACAGTCTGGGGTCGGTGGCCCGGTGGTCTGTTCTTGCCGTCCATGCATGTCCTGGACAGTTTTCGTGGGCACCTAGTAGACCGAGTACGAGATGAGCTAAAAAAGCTGTGCACAGGTCTGGCAGTGATTTCGGGCAGCCTCGCATCGATACTGCAGCCTTTGGACGTGTTTTTCAATAAGCCTTTCAAGGGCAATGTTGCTGTACATCACCTGGATGGCTGGAGAACAACATCAGCTGACTCCAGGTAGTAAGATTAGGAGGCCGCCTGTGGAAATGCCGTGGGCTTGGATCTCAGAAACGTGGCAGGCGATCTCCAATGACATTGTCAGGAAAAGCTTCAAGAATACGGGTATCTCGAACGCACTGGATGCAAGTGAGGGCGACATGTTGTGGGGTGCGGATAGTTTGGACACCGAAGACGAATCCTCGTTTGGCGAAAATGAATGTGTGCTCTCAGACTCGGTCTCGGATTAGAAAAAAGTAGAAACACCTACGACTTTTGTGCAAATAAATTTCACTTGTGTGTGTGTGTGCAGTTGATGGCTCTTGCTTGTTCATTGAAAGGTATGTTTGTTTTATGCTGAATTAATTGGTAAACAATCAAGTCGCCATTTATTTGACAAGTGTGCAGACTTAAAAATTTTTGGAAATTTTACCCCGGGTAATTGGCGCACCCCTAACTTCAAGCTGGATTTTCTGAAAAAAAAAAGTGCGCCTGTTATGCAAGTGAATACCGTAATCTTGGAAGACACCATGCCAGTTTGTCAATTCTGCCAAACTGGCAGCGCAGTGCAAATATCCGTGCATGAGCTATTGCTGCTGATCGCGATTGCGGTATTTTCCGTGGTAGCGCGGGCAGCAACCGTTCAAACCTGCACTTCAGCGCAAGTTCTAATGAAATTTCTTGGGCTGAAAAACGATTCGCAACAACAGTACTTTGTTACATCGCCGGATAATCGGCCTTGCCCGGGAACGCAGAAAAATTCGTATCACTTGCCAGTCCTTTGAGCCATGATTGTGTCACCGAGGTTCTATCGCAGGTGCGTTCCCAGCAATAGGCTATACAAACACCGCATGCATGACCTTTGTCTAAATCCTTTGGCATCGTTGGTGCAGATTTCATTGAATCGTCAGTGTAACTGAAAAGTAAGTTGACCGAAAAATTGTTTCCTGAAAATGCGCCTGCAGCAATTCATAGGCTGGGAGTGTTAAAAACGGTGAACACAGTGCACTCTAGGAGAAGAGGAAAACGAGGAATGGCACGTGGCACAAGGAGCTGGGTTCTTTGTTCGCTGAAGTAAACAGCAGAATTCAGATGCACTGCCAATCTCGCCAGGCGTATTTGTCCTTAAAACCCGGTTCATCTACGAGCGAAGTCTTTGGATATTACAACCATTGCACTCTATCTCAGCATGTTCGGCATGCCGGGGCAACAAAGTTTTTTTTCTACCAAGTTTCATTACACAGGTGTCTTATATAGCTTATGTTGTACTTTTTTGATTTCTAAAAAGATGCAGAAAAGTAACTGTCGAAAGTGTAACCTAATGTTGGAAATGAAAATGGGTGTGTGTGAGCAGGTGGAAACTGCAGAAGTGAGAAGGTATTTCACCTCCATCAGTGTGTTTACCTGGTGAACACCTCCAGCAGTCATTTTTTCTGCAAAACTTGTAATTTGTGCATCACCAAGAGGATATTAAAGGTGCTGCAGCCTACTGGCATGCAGTTTCATTATTTGTTTCAATTGTTCGATAACAGTAATGAAAGCTAATCTCACTTCTTGTTTTGGAACTCTTTAAAAGACAAACAAAACTATTTTTCACGTACTATTAATGTACACTTTCACATTCCTGAAAATACTACTTTTACTGTGACACGAGGCTTGGTATGCGGGAAAACGGGCCAAAAATAAATGCACGTGGAGTCGCCACGTTGAGGTTCCCGCGGCAAACGTTGTGACGTAAGAAATACTGAAGGCATTTACTGCTTCCTGCATAGCTTTTACTTTGTAACAGTGAAGTACGTTGTCATCTTTGGGTGCCATAAACCTAGCATGCGAAGTTTCGGAAAATTTCGTTGATGAAAATGCCAAAAATACGTTTTTAATTGAAATGAAGTCAGTGTTTCTCTTCAGTGTTTCTTCAACTACACAGAGGAACTGAAGAATAGGATAGGGTTAGGTGGAGCCACGTAATCAAGAAATTTTCTGGCATAAAATAGATAAATTACGCAGCACAGATCAGGATGGAGATGACTGGGAGAGGTCTTAGTTCGGCACTGGACACAAGATAGACTGATGAAGATGATGATGGCAACATATTGGATAATTGATTAGACAGTCAAGGACAGTTTGTTGCCTTACTAGTAGTTTATTCATATTTGAAGATTTCAATACTCATGCACGCTTGATTGAGGCTAAACATAATGCTCTTTGCTCATGATGATATAAAAAGTTAGATTCTTCATTACCCTTAGACTTTTGTTAGATTGAAGTTTGTTATAGTGATGTTTAAGTACATCCATTGTACTATAATTTAACTTTGCAGTTGTCACTTATTTCAAGCTTAGCTCTGTGCACTTAGAGAAGAGTTAGTTTACATTGTAAACAATACGTGTAGGTGCACATAACTAGAGTGAGCTTACAACACATCTCATTGTGCACCCATGCACTGCTATTCTCATACAGCTGGAAGGATCCACAGCTGATGGCACGCCACCACCACTTCCACCACGAGGTAAGCACGTATGTTCATCATGCTAAGGGTTGGCATTTTTTGTAGTCTTTTCCTGGAATCTTTTTCAGCCATCAGTAGTAATCACATGTCAGGTCCAGGGTTTTCCTTGTACACAGCTCAACAGATAGGCAATAAAATGCATTGTGCTTGAAGGCTGCTGATATTTAAACACAAGAAGTCCTTGTTAACACTGAACACACCAGTTCGGGACCTATAGAGGGTGCTTTGAAAGCCTGGTGCAGTGCCATTTGTAGTGTGGCGGGCACGAAACGTTGAGAGTCTTAGCAGACAGCAGCGCTTCATCAGCTTTGATAGCTATTGTGGCACCAAGCTCCCATGCCCGGCCCAGTTGTGCTTCTGGCAAGATTTAAAGATATCCGTAAAGGGACATTCTTTACCTACCACAAATGGGAAAACCTGCACGAAAGTGGCCAAATTTTCTACATTAGTGAGCGCCTTGCTGTCCATCATCAGTACTGATGGCTAAATGCGTGCGTCAGGTGTGCGTAATGCCTAGATGCTTACTTCATAACTGTCCAGGTAAGCTGTTATTCTTTCACGACTTTGAATATTATTGGTGCGTGCCCACTACCTGCATACTTGCAAAATACTCGGAGCATTTATAAACTGATGGCTCCACGGCCACTCACCATGAAACTTCATTGTAAGTGGCCAGGCGGCGTGCTCGTTTATTGCGGCTTCGTGCCACAGAGATTTTCAGCCACCGAGTCTCGTAAAGTGCTTTGCTTGAAATTGTCATGGCACCATCATTGCTCATCATGATCGTAGTCTTTACTTCACCGCTTGTACAGCTCATGCTAAGAGCTTGAGGCTGAAGACGAGAAAGAGAACTGTGCTACGATTGCATCCAGAGAGGACGTCGCAGCCTCGTTTCATTTTCGCTTCACCTTGTAAAGTGGCAGCGATGAACGGCATGGTCTCTCTCATTCACTAAAGCCACTTGCCTTGTTTGCGTTACTTTCTGAAACAAACACTGACATGAACATCGGTTGCTACAGCATTCACAAAGCTTCGTTTTTACCCTTTAGTTCTGCTACTCTGTGCCCTGTGTCATTTTTTCTGAACGTGCGAATTGTTTACCAATCAACAAAAAGAAAAAAAAAAAACTTCAGAATGAAGCATTGCGAAGGATGAATTCACCTTATTACGTCCGATTGTTCTTTCCTTTAGGGCTACCCCACTGGGTTTCAGCCACGGAGCGTTTGTGAGGCCATATGCGATTTACTAAGCGAGACGAAACGAATTGAATGCAAAGGTTATCTATATCAAGCATTTTCTTCAACAATAGTCTTATTTTTCTGTGAATGAAGCTAACTACTTATTTAAAAAACGATCTATTGCTGAACATTCTGAGATTATAAACAAATTTATTTATATAACAAGGCACCACCCATTTCATGCCCCACGGTAGGTTGTGCCAGTTTATAAAGGTCAACCAACCAACATCTTGGCTTGATCGTAACAAGTCTGCATAGTGCTGCTGGGTGGCCAGTTGTGTTTATGATAATATGCTACATAACTCAGTTTGCTCCTTAGCTGACGGTACCATCAACCCAGCAAAGCATTATTTGACCTTGCATTGCATTCGTCAAAACTGCGAAGGGTAGACGGCAAGTAAATAATTGTTAAGGTTCATTAAAATGTTCCACCAGCTTTGAGCTGACTTATACCGGCGTCACAAGGACACTTTTGAAGGGCCATCGTGTTGACGGCTGTCACGCTGCTACACGGCAGTTTTCAATGGTCGTTCATTAGTTAAGGTATTTCTCGCTAAAGATGGGTGGTGCTAGAAATATTTGTTTTTCGTTTTTGTGTCTTCGTAAGGAAAATAATTATATACACTTAAAAGCACACATCTGTCTGCTATTTTTGTGTGAAGATTACAATAAAGTGTTTCTACATACTTAATAATGCATGTTTGGCTTTTAGGTTTTAAGCAGCAAAACTGGCAATGTTGTCTGTGCATGAGCAGGTGTGGCTGCCATTTTTTTGTGGTTGTATTTGTGCAGTGTGTGGTTTGTGTTTACACGTTTCGGAGGCCGCTGCAACTTGTTTTGCAAGCTTCTCTCGTCATGAGCAACCAAGAAGCATAATTTCGAGATGAGAAGGCTGCGATGGTTTTTTACATGGTTGCGATCATGCAGATTGATGCTGGATTTAAAACGGCAAAGAAGGAAGTCGATGCCATTAAAGAAAAGCTGCAGCTGGTAAAAAATTTGATGACAACCATGGATGCGGTGATCAAATGCAGCGTAGACAGAGAAAGCTTGTCTTTCTCTTGCCAATTGCGTTAGTCGGAAGAGACCATGTCACTGCATGGCGAGAGGTTTTTCAAACGGGCGTTCAGCGTTACCAGGCGGTCCTCCCACAAGTCAATGACGAACACTGCTTCTCGCTAACCCCAGAGCTGATGTGGTGCTCGCGCAGCTTTTTTCTTTATTGTCGGTAAAGCGTTATTCATTTTGCACAAAACGTGCAAAAGGAGTAACTTCACAAACACACTTAAGAAGCGGGGCACAACTTAACAATGCTGCGCGCAATATGGCATCAGAAACAGACTGGGAATAATGAGCAGGGGGAGCCAGCATGTTGCTGTTGTCGAGAGTATGAGCTGTTCCTACATTCCAAATGGCACAAACACTTTATTGAATAATTTATAATAACGCCCATGCATGCTACTTTTAAAACCTAATGGTGCAACTTTTCTTTGTCTTATCAGGGGTTCGAGCACACTGAGAATGAGAGTACGTGTTTGCGCTGTTTCTGCTTCCATCGCTCAATAGCCATCGAAGTTTCAATGATGGTGTGGAGTGCTCCGTTCACTCTATAGACAATTGACTCGATGGCCTTCGAAATCGCCCGTGTGACTTCTCGTCCTTGTTACTTGAGTCGATCGACCATCAGTTCAAAAGCGTACAAAACGCCCGTGTGACACCGATATTAAAATGCCTTGTGTAGGTTTCTTTTCTAACAAGCTCTATGGCAGCAGGAACATCACACTAGATCATTGCACTTGCACAGGTGGTGTCTCAGACCAATTCGAGCATGCAGCGGCAGAATGCGAGACACCAGAGGCAGCCGGAACCAAATACGTTTTACGTCGCTCAGCCCTGATTCACTTATTTCGTTGCCCGATAAAGCAGGGATAAGACGAGAAACTTCAAAACGTCATTCCTGCAGGACACGATGTGTACCTGTTGGTACAATCGACTACGCAGCAGGTCATGATTCTGATAAACTACGTGCTAGCAGGCGTTGGGAGAGCATTTGGCTCTGCTCGGGTTCTCAACTGTCTGCTCTGACAGCTGCGCAGCGGCATGCCAGTCGCAGTGCATGGAGTGTACTGCACCTAACTATGCACTGATTTTCCCATATAAACTTGTGTCTGCTGATTTGTTTCGCTACAACCAACAAACCAAATGAATTCTGTGCCACGAATTTTGCCTAATAAACCAGCTTCAATGATTTCAGGTGTTTCGCTACAACCAACAAACCAAGTGAATGCTGTGCCACAGATTTTGCCTAATAAACCAGCTTCAATGATTTCAGTTTCTTTTAACCCAAGTGGAATAACTTCTGGCTCTCTCGCACTGAGCATGAGATAGCACCTGTTGGCTTAACCAAGGAGCATTCCGAAATTATGAGGAGCACAGTGCCTGGCATGGTGGCAGAGTAGATGCTCCTCGGTTTTCTTGTGTGCGTGTGCCTTTACACTGTGAAATGCTGTCTTGTGTAAACCAGTGTGTCTTCATTGCAACGAAGTACCTGCTGCTGCTAGGCCGCATGGCAGATAGTTGTTAGTGTGAAGCATTTTACCTTCGTAATTTCACATTGGCACTGTACTGGGATGTGCTGCACAGGTGTTTTTCATGAGTGTCCGCGCATTGAGCTTTATTTATGCTCACTTCTATTCAGACATTGCATGAGTGTGTCATGAATGTTGTTTAACCTACATGGTTCCATCGAGTTGCTTTCTTTGTGCAAGCAATGGGAATGTGAAACAATTCTGCACAATGAAGGCTAAACTGAACAACGGCATGTAATTCTTCAGCTGTTACAAATTTAAGACAAGAACTGCGTTTGCAATGGAGCTGCATTATACATGTTGCCGAGCAGATAGTTGAAGATGCTTACAGGAGTGTTGGTGATGAATTGTACTACAGTTGAACCTCGCTACAACAAAACTGACGCGGCACTGAAAAAGTTTTCTTGAAGCGAAAATTTTGTTGTCGTGAAGTCGAGAAAATATAGCTGATCTGAGCTAGCAAAACAAAAGAAGGTTTAATCTCAAAAGTTAAAAAATATCCACTACTTTATATTCTTTACAGCAGCGTCACGATGTGATTATCACCCATGCATAGCGAGGCCATGGTGAAAAGCACGCTGAAACAATGCCTAAAACCGCCTTGGTGAGCGAACCAAACAGTTGCATTAACTTGTTAACACCAGCAGCTGTTCGTCGTCAAAATTATTCGACAACATCGGGATGGAGGCAGGGTATCATGGAGCGGCGACTTTTTCATTATTCTATGCCATTCTTATCATCCATAACTCGTGGCTAGCTGATTTTGTTGATAATGCAGACAAACAGCTGCTCTGATTAGTTACCACACTGGCCAAGCATTAAAATAATGATAAGCATCGGAAAAGGCATTGTTTCGTGGTTGTATCCAGCAGCTGCGTGAAAGAAACCATCAACTGAGCGACTAAACTTCAGCTTCGGATCATCTGCGGCTCAAAAGCAGCAGTTGCAAAAGCAGGGCAGTCTCACTGCCATCACTATTGAGCAATGGGGGCACCCATGCTTGCTGAACAGCGGCGGTTTCTGGTAGTGCCAACGCATGTTTAGACTTCATTGACGCATTTTCAGGCTCTGAAAATGCATCAAAATGTTAAAGATTGGGTTTACTGCATAGAAATAAGTATCTGAGCTTGGCATTGCATTGTAACATTTCGTTGAAGCAGGGACGATCGAAGAA